GGGGACACGGGGGGACGGGGGAACACGGGGGGACACGGGGGGACACGGGGAACACGGGGGGACACGGGGGGACACGGGGGGAAACGGGGGGAAACGGGGAGAACACAAGGGGACACAGGAGGACATGAGGGGACACAGGAGGACACGGGGGGCCACGGGAGGACACGGGGGGCCACGGGGCACTCCAGGGGACACGTGGGGCCACGGGGGGACACGAGGGGACACACGAAGGTACAGGGCCACCCGGCTGTCACCACTCTGCGGTGCGGGGCCGAAGGCCACGCCCCCACTCTGGCCACGCCCTCATTACTGACCACGCCCCTTGGGGACACGGCTGTCCATCGGCGCCCAGGCCACGCCCCGCGCCAACAGACCACGCCCCCGCCGCCAGGCCACGCCCCCAGGGCCCGGGCCACGCCCCCGCCACCCGGCCACGCCCCCAGGGCCCGGGCCACGCCCCCAGGTCCCGGTCACGCCCCCAGGGCCCGGGACACGCCCCCGCCGCGCGGGAGACCCCGCCCACACCCGAGCGGCGCGCGCACGGCTCCGCCCCGCCGTGTCCCCCCGTGTCCCCCGGTATCCCCCCGTGTCCCCCGTGTCCCTCCGTATTCTTCCCGTGTCACTCCGTGTCCCCCCGTGTCCCCCGGTATCCCCCCGTGTCCCCCGTGTCCCTCCGTATTCTTCCCGTGTCCCCCCGTGTCCCCCCGTGTCCCCCGTGTCCTCCCGTGGGCCACGCCCACAAACCGCCTTACGAGGGGCGTGAACCGCCCCCGGTAACGGATCCGTTTGCCCCGCCCCCGCGGCGGCTTCCGGCGGAAGTGGCGGCGCGGCGGAACCGGCCGGAGGTGAGGGGGGCCCGGGCACCGGGGGTGAGGATGGCGGGTACCGGGGGTGAGGATGGCGGGTACCGGGGGGTGAGGGCTGAGGGTACCGGGGGTGAGGATGGCGGGTACCGGGGGGTGAGAATGGCGGGTACCGGGCGGTGAGGATGGCGGGTACCGGGAGTCCGGAGGGATCCGGGCGGGAGGCAGGATGGTCCCGGGGGGTGCCGGTGAGGGGCCCGGGTGGTGTCCGGGGGTCGCGGTGGCTCTGGTGGTCCCGAGGCGGTGACAGTGGAGGGCCCAGGGCGGTCCGGGAGGTGCCGGGGGTTGGAATGGTGTCCGGGGTCAGGATGAGGGATCAGGATGGGGGTCCTGCACGGGGGTCCAGAGGGGTGTCCCGGGGGTCCGGGTCATGTCCTGGCGGGCTCAGGATGGGGGTCTCGAGGGGGTCGGGATGGGAGCCCTGGGCTGGCCGGGATGTGGGTGCCGGGGGGTTCGGGGTGGTGTCTGTGGTGTTTGCTGCCCCTTTGGTGTCCTGGTGGGCCCAGGGCGATGCTCCTGCCCGTGCCAAAGGTGCCTTTTCTCCTTGCCCTGCTTCCCCCCCAGATCCCCCCGCCATGGAGAAGTTCGGGATGAACTTCGGGGGCGGCCCCAGCAGGAAGGAGCTGCTGGAGACCATCGAGACGCAGAAGCAGCAGCTCCTGCGCTTCCAGGCGCGCCTCAAGGACGTGGTCCAGGCCTACAAGAGCCTCCTGAAGGAGAAGGAGGCGCTGGAAGCCAGCCTGAAGGTGCTCTCCGTGTCCCACGACGGGGACCTCGCAGTGCCCCCGCCCGGGGCTGGGGACTCCCCGGACGACCGGAGCTCGGAGCACAGCGAGGACAGCGCGGGGACGGCCGCCGGCGCGGACGCCGCGGCCGGCCTGACCGGCGCCGGGGGGGACGAGGAGGACAAACCCGCGGGCGGCGCTTCCCAGAGAGCCGAGGAGCCGGGCGGCTCGGAGGGCGGCTCGCCGGGCGAGCCCGAGCGGCGCCTGCAGCAGCTGAAGGCGCAGCTGGCCACGCTGACGGGCGCGCTGGCCACGGTGACGCGGGAGAAGTCGCGCATGGAGGCGTCGTACCAGGCGGAGCGGCGGCAGATGAAGCAGGAGCTGGAGGAGGCGGCGGGGCGGGCGCGGGACGAGGCGGAGCGGCGGGACGCCGAGCTGCGGCGGCTGCGGGAGCAGCTGGCCGAGACCCGCGCCCGCCTGGCCGCGCAGCAGCGCGAGCGCGAGAGCGAGCAGGCCGACCACGGGCTGATGCTGCGCGAGCTGCAGGAGCTGCTGCGCGCCGAGCGCGCCGCGCGCCGCGCCGCCGAGCGAGCCCCGGGCCACGAGCAGCACGGCCGGCGGCTGAGCCACGAGCTGGAGGAGCTGCGCAGGGAGCTGCAGGACGCGCGCGAGGAGAGCGGGAGGGCGGACCCGCGGATCCGGGAGCTGCAGGAGGAGATGGCCGCCCTCAAGAACCACTTCCAGCTGCAGCTGGTGCAGGAGATGAAGAAGGTGATTGCTGCCTGGGAATGAGGGTGGTGCGCAGGAGCTGGGGCGAGGTTTGGGGCTGCGGGAGCCAAATCCCCTCTCCCAGTCTCTCGGAGTCCAAAGCGTCCCATCGCGGATTGATGGGATGATAATTCTGGGGAGCAGCTCTGTGTGGGATGTATCCAGGGAGTGGGGCTGGAGTCAAATTCCCCTTCCCAATCCTTCAGATTCCAGGAGGTTCAAAATAAATGGCACAGGGTGCCCAGAGTAACTGGGGCTGCCCCTGGATCCCTGGAATGCCCAAGGCCAGGCTGGACACTGGGGCTGGAGCAGCCTGGGGCAGTGGGAGGTGTCCCTGCATGGCAGTCGTGGAGAGGCTCTGGGGTCCCTTCCCACCCAACCCATTCCACGATTCTAAGCACAAACCCCTGAAAAGCCAGGACAGGGAGGTGTCCAGGCAGGGCTCCTGGGGTGGGGAGGGCCCCGTGTTGGTTCGGAGCACAGGAGGGGCCCCGTGTGACCCCAGGTGAGTCCCCACGTGTCCCCACGTGCCCTAACCCCGCCGTGTCCCCGCAGACAGCCCAGGCCGAGGAGCAGCTGCGGCAGCGCTCGCAGCAGGAGGAGCGGCGCGTGGCCGAGCTGGAGGCCCAGGTGTCCCAGGTGTCCGAGCTGCTGGGCACCTACGAGAAGGCCAAGCAGAGGGACCAGGGCACCATCCAGAGGCTCAAGGACCGCATCGTGCAGCTGGACCTGGAGAACAAGACCTTGGCCATCGCCGCCTCCAGCCGCTCCCTGGGCGAGGTCGCCGTGGAGGAGGCCACCCTGGACGTGGGCGCGCTCAAGGAGAAGATGGAGAAGCTGCAGAAGCTCCTGCAGGCGGCGGCCGGGAAGGGCCCGGCGGGGCCGGAGGCGGAGGAGCCGCGGGAGCCGGAGCAGCCCCCGGGCGGCGGGGACGGCAACGGGGACAAGGCCTCGGGCGGGCACTGCCAGCAGGAGCTGAGGCAGCTCAAGGAGGAGTTCGAGCGCTACAAGGTGAGGGCGCAGCAGGTGCTGAAGAGCAAGGCCACCAAGGACACGGGCCTGGCCAAGGAGCTGGAGGAGGCGCGGGAGCAGCTGGCGGAGCTCCAGGACAAGCACGCGCTGCTGCAGCTGGCCGCGGACGAGACGGAGAAGCGGCACCGGCAGGAGCTGGAGGCCAAGCAGCAGGAGCTGTCGCAGCTGCAGCAGCTGCACCGGCAGGAGCTGGAGCGCTGCCAGCTGCAGTTCCGGGAGCGGGCGCTGCGGCTGGAGGAGGAGATGCACAAGCAGCGGGACCGGGCGCTGGCCGTGCTGGCCGAGAAGGACCGGGAGCTGGAGCAGCTCCGCGCCCCGGCGCCGCCCCACGGCCCCAGGAGCCGGCCCGGGGACGGCGGCCCCGGGGACGCTGCCGGCCCCGGGGACGCTCCCGGCCGGGATTCCTCGGAGATCCTGCCGCAGGCGCTGCAGCCGTGCTCCGGCTCCGAGCCCACCTTCTTCCTGTACGCCGAGCAGCTGGCGCGCAAGGAGGTGGAGATCGCGGCGCTGCGCAAGCACAAGCACCGGCTGGAGGTGCAGCTGCACCAGCTGCGGGGCCGCGCCCTGGCCGAGGAGGACAAGCACCGGGAGGAGGTGGCGGCGCTGCGGGACGAGATCCAGAAGAACTGCCGGGATAAGAGCAGGGAAGGGGCCAACCTGGAGTACCTGAAGAACGTGGTGTACCGGTTCCTGACGCTGCCGGACGCGCGGGGCCGGCAGCAGACGCTCACGGCCATCCTGGCCATCCTGCACTTCAGCCCCGAGGAGAAGCTGAGCATCGCCAAGAGCTCGGCCCACGGCTCCTGGTGGCTCCACGGCAAGAGATGAGGGGTGGATTTTATTCCCTTTTCCCAAAGAGCTCCTTCCCGAGCACTGACCAAAACCTCATCCCAGCCACGCCTGGGTCTCTCCAGGATTTGGGCTCCGTTTGGTTTTTTTGGCACTAATTTGCAGTGGGGTTGTGCCAGCTTTTCCAGCCCCAAAGCCTCCGTGGTGGGAATTTGCTCCGAGTTGGGACTTGATCTGAAAGCCGTGGAATTGAAGATGCCGAGGTTTTCTAAAGATGATTTAAAAACAATCCCTACCTGCCAGGCGTGGCATCAAGTGGAGTTCACTTGGATCTTCAAGCTCCAGCCAGGCTGGTGACTCAGGAGATGAAAGGGAAGGTGGGAAGCACTTTAGGTGGAGCTAAAATAGCACCAGGCCAGGAAGGCTCGGGAAGATGGGGCTCAGAGCAGGAAATCTTGAGCATTTCCCTCTATGGTTCTTTTCCAGAGCCTGATTTAACCAGTGGATGCAGCTCCAGGCTCATCCAGGGGCTCGGGCTCTCCTTCCTTCCCAGGGATCCTCTCTGGGTTATCAGGGGTTCTAGGAAGGAGAAAGGATCTCCCTGTGGATGATTCCCATCCTGAGGGTGTTGTTTTCCTGGCCCGCATTTGGAATTGAATCCTGGCTGCTGAAGCTCAGCCCAGAGACAGGGATAGGTCTGGATTAACACCCAAGAGGTCTTGGAGCCGAGTCAAGAGCAGGTCTGGGAGCAGCTCGTGGTGCTGCACTGCCAGAGAGCCTTGGGAAGGATCGGCCACTCCTGGCACTGCCAGGGACAAGGACAGGGACGTGGAATTTCTCTCCATTCCTCCTTGTCTGTCCTGGTCCCGTCAGCAGCCAACCTCCCTGGATTCTGCTCTGGCCAGTGCAGCCCTCGGTGCCAATTTCTCCTCAATAAAATCCTCAGGGAAAACGTGCTGGGACAGGGCAGAGCCTGTCCCTGCTGGGAGGGGGACACAGCTGGGGGATTTCCCTGCATCCAGGGATGCTCCCACCCGGAGCAGCAGGACCCAGGTGCTGCCCTGAGGGGAGAGTTTGTCCCAGGAATGCTTGAAACGCTGCTGAAGGACAAAGTGCTGGCTCAGCCAGGGGAGAGCCCAGTCCCTGCTCCCAGGTTGGAAGTGTTGAATCAAGGGGTGCCTCTGGAGTGGCAGCGATGGCTCCAACTCTTTCCCTGGAGCCATTCCCACAACTCCAGAGGGAGGTGGAGCCTCGTCCTGCTGTGGCTTCACTGCTCAGGCTGAGGGGATGGATCCCTGTTCTCCCTCTGCTTCTGCAGCATGGAGTGACCTGGGATGGATCCCAGGGGTGGTGGGGACCCAGCAGGGCGGAGGAATGGGATGGGACCCAGCTGGGAGCAGGGGGACAAGGTGGGGCCACAGCTTGGAGCAGGGAATCAGTGTGGGACCCAGCTGGGAGAGGAGGGACAAGGTGGATTCCAGCTCGGAGAGGAGGGACAAGGTGGGACCCGGCTGGGAGGACCCAGATCCGTCCCGGTACCCTCTGTCTGTTCCTGGCAGAGGAAGATGAGGGAGCTGCTGAGGGGGAGCATCTCCAGGGGTGCCCAGCTCCGTGTCACTCACCCTCCTGCAGCTCCCAGTGCCATTCCTTCCTCTGCTCCCCTCCAGCCCCTCTCCCTCCTGCTCCCTTCTTCCCTCAGACCCTCCTCCACATTCCTCCCTCCTTCTTCCCTCTCTCCCTTCAGCCAGTATCCCTGAAATAAAGGTAAAATGTTTGTGGGAACTCTGCTGGCTCCTGGGGGTGGGATGGGCATTGCTTGGGGATTTTTGGTGGATGTTGGAACATCCTTGGGTTAAAATTATCACAAAATTGTTAAATCCCTTGATTTCCTGAGGTTCCTGGCAGTGTGAGAACAGGAATGGTTCATTCCTGCACCTGCAGTCGTGGTGTGGCAGCTGAGTGGATGCAGAGGAGTCTGGCACTGAGAATCCCAGGATGGGCTGGGTGGGAAGGGACCCCAAACCCCCCCCAGTGCCACCCCTGCCCTGGCAGGGACACCTCCCACTGCCCCAGGCTGCTCCAGCCCCAGTGTCCAGCCTGGCCTTGGGCACTGCCAGGGATCCAGGGGCAGCCCCAGCTGCTCTGGCAATCCCAGCCCAGCCAGGAATTCCTCATTCCCAATCTCCCATCCATGGCTGCCCTCTGGCAGTGGGAGCCATTCCCTGGGTCCTGTCCCTCCATCCTTGTCCCCAGTCCCTCTGCAGCTCTCCTGGAGCCCCTCCAGGCCCTGCCAGGGCTCTGAGCTCTCCCTGGATCCTTCTCCTCTCCAGGTGAGCCCCCCCAGCTCTCCCAGCCTGGATCCCTGGGATCTGCGGGGCTCCAGCCCTGCAGCAGCTCTGTGCACTCTGGGCTCTCCAGCAGCACAAGGAGCTCCCGGCTGCTCTCCCAGCGCTGTGCCCTCATTCCCGGTGTGCCCAGGGGCATCCGGGCGCTCGTTTGGGCTCTCCCAGCGCTGTGCCCTCATTCCCGGTGTGCCCAGGGGCATCCGGGCGCTCGTTTGGGCTCTCCCAGCGCTGTGCCCTCATTCCCGGTGTGCCCAGGGGCATCCGGGCGCTCGTTTGGGCTCTCCCACGCCGGAGGCCGATCCCTCCCCGTTCTCGAGGCTGGCACGGCGCCGCCTGCTCCTCTGGGAAGCTCCTGCTGCTCCTCTGGGAAGCTCCAGCCGCCCCGGCCGGGCAGGTTCCTCCGGCTGCGCCGTGGCCGTGTCCCGAGTCCGGGCAGCGGCGGCGGCGGGAGCCGCTCCCAGCTTCTCTCCATCCATCCCGGGCTGCGGCCGGGGAGAGCCGGGCGGGCTCCGGGCTGCGGCCCGGCCATGGCCGAAGCGCAGGGACAGCCGCCGGCTCTCTCGGACGTCCAGGTACAGCGTGCGGGGCGCTCCGGAGGGCCGGGAGCGGCTGGGCTGAGCGCTGCGCTCGCACCCCAGCAAATCCTGCCCGAGGGAGCTCCCCCCGCCGGGGCCTGGGCCGCCGCTTCGGGCACCGGCCCGCACGGAGGGGTGCCAGCCGGGCAGGGCTTTCCCTGGGCCGGAGCGGCTCTTCCCTGCCTCCTGCCCCGCTGCTCCCGGCGGACTCCCGGGCCCGGACCCGCCCGGCTCCGGAGGCGCCCTCGGGAGCCGCTCCCAGCGCGGCCGCGGCTCCTCGGCGCTCCCCAGCCCCGGGTGAGGGGAGCTTGGGAGGCGATCCCAGCGGGAAAACTCGGGCGAAAGGAGCAGGGGAACCCCGCCGCGTGCGGCCACCGCCGAGGGGCTGCAGAGCCGGCCCCGGCCCCTCCAGTCCCCACCCGCGCCCGTTCCTGGGCTCCGGCCAGCGGTGGCCGAGGGACGCAGTCCGGCCGTGCCCGGGGTCCCACATCCCACTCCCGTGGGGGGCTCGGGCCGGCCCCGCTCCCCCCTGCCTCCCGCAGGTCCTGGTGCTGACGGGCGTCACCCTCCCGGCCGCGCTGCTCAGGTGGGTCCTGTCCCCTGTCCCTCGCCCCGGGCTGGCACCTGCGGGTGGCAGCGGCTCTGCCGGGACGGTCATCGCCCGCCCCGTCCCCTGCAGCCTCCTGGGCAGCGGATCCGTCCTCGCTGTCACCTCCTGGCAGGGGCGCTGCTGCCACATCCAGGTGAGTGTCACCGGCCTGTGGCAGTGTCCCTGCTGCCACATCCAGGTGAGTGCCACCGGCCTGTGGCAGTGTCCCTGCTGCCACATCCAGGTGAGTGTCACCGGCCTGTGGCAGTATCACTGCTGCCACATCCAGGTGAGTGCCACCGGCTCCTGGCAATGCTGCCATGTCCAGGTGAGTGTCACCAGCTCCCAGGGACACAGGGCTGGGTCTGGCCCCAGCTAAGCCCGAGTCAAAGCCGAGCTAACACCGGGTTTAAAGCCCCGGGCAGGGAGCAGGAGGTGCAGGATGCCCAACTCGCGGCACTCGCCCCGGCCCCCGGGAGCCGCCTGGCCCAGCCTGGGAAGGGCCGCGGGAGCTGCCGGGGGCTGCTGCCAGCAGAGCTAACGCCGTGCCCTGTCCCCAGCTGCGCCCCCTGTTCCTCCTGGCCCTGGCAGATTTCCTGGGTGCCACGGCGCTGCTGGGCACGGGAACCATCCCGCTGCTGCCGGCCCCCCTCTCCGTGCCCGCCTACGCCGCCTGTCCCTACGGGCGGATGCTGACCACGGTAAGGGGACGCTGCTGGGGACAGCTGGGGCCTGTCTGCGGCTGCAGTGTCCTGGGGACACTGTCCTGGGGTCCCCCCCTCGGGAGGAACCTCTGCCGAGGGTCGGGCTGTGGAGCACGAGGAGGGAATGGACGGGGGAGTGGGGGGTGTCGGGGGCAGAGGGAAGGTGGAAGGGGCCCTGGCGGCGCTGGACACCGCAGGATGCCCGCTCCCCTTCCCTCTGCTCTGCCCCTCTCTCCCAGACCTCCTACGCCGTCTCGTTCCTCATGGTCGCTGTTTACGCGTTCGAGTCGCACCGCACCGTGCTCGGGGGGCGAGCCCGGCCCCCGGCAGCGCTGCAGGTCCGTGCCTCGCCCGGCCACAGCCGGGACAGGACAAGCGAGCAGCGGGGCGATCCGGGGCAGCCCCTTTCCCCGGGAATCCGGGATTTCCCCGGTCCTGGCGGAGCTGCGGCCACCCCTCCAGCCCCGGCTCACGGCGGTTCTCCCGCAGGAGCGGAGCCGCTGCCTGGAGAGCGCCTGGCAGGGAATTCCGTACGTCCTGGCCTGGTAGGAGCCGCCGCCGGCCCGCCCGGAGCTCCCACCCGTTCCTTCCCCAGGCTGGTGCCGGCCCGGGGCTCTCACCCGTTCCTTCCCGAGGCCGGGGCCGGCCCGGGGCTCTCACCCGTCCCTTGCCCAGGCTGGTGCCGGCCCGGGGCTCTCACCCGTCCCTTCCCGGGGCCGGCCGGGGCTCCCACGGGTCCCTTGCCCAGGCTGGTGCCGGCCCGGGGCTCTCACCCGTTCCTTGCCCAGGCTGGTGCCGGCCCGGGGCTCTCACCCGTTCCTTCCCAAGGCTGGTGCCGGCCCGAGGCTCTCACCCGTCCCTTCCCGGGGCCGGCCCGAGGCTCTCACCCGTCCCTTCCCGGGGCCGGCCGGGGCTCCCACCCGTCCCTTGCCCAGGCTGGTGCCGGCCCGGGGCTCCCACCGGCCCTTCCCGGGCCGGCCCGGGGCTCTCACCGTCCCTTGCCCAGGCTGGTGCCGGCCCGGGCTCTCACCCGTCCCTTGCCCAGGCTGGTGCCGGCGCTGACTCTCCTGGCGCAGCTGCTCGCCCGCGGCACCTCCGCCGCCGACATCGCGCCCGTGGTGCCCTGGGCCGGCTCCAACGACACCTTCAGCCTTTACTGCTCCAGGTACGGCCCCTCCGCCCCCGCCCTGCCCGGGGCATCGCTGCCGGGACTCCGGGGAGGCTTTGGGACCTCCAGCACCGCTCTGTCCTTGCAGCTGCCTCCTCCTGATCCACCCGAACCAGGACATCTGCTCCCAGGTGGGCTCTCAGGTGGGGCTCCGGGGCCGCGGGGGTCGCTGGCCCGGCTCCGCTCATTTCCCGCTGCCTCCCAGTCCGGCGGGGGCAAGAACGCGGGGCTGGAGGAGAAAATCATCTTCCTGCTGTACCTGCTGCTGGTGCTCGGCTGCTGCTCGGTGAGGTCGCGGCTCGGGGGAGGCACTGGGGGTCCCCAGCGCGCCGCTGACCCCCGGACCCCCCCAGCTCCTGTACCGGCGGGTGCGGCTCCGGTGCCGGGGGAACGCGGCGCTGCCGCTGCTGAGCCTGGACAGGGACGGCGGCTTCGGGGGCAGGAGCGGCCGCAGCGTCAGCAAAGCCTCGCTGTACTTCCAGCTGGTTTTCCTGCTCTGCTGGACGCCAGGCAAGGCCAGGGGGGTGTCCCAAAGCCCCCAGCCCCACAGGGTCACAGTGAGGGTGTCCCCAGGGTCACAGTGAGGGTGTCCCCAGCTCCCCCAGCCCCACAGGGTCACAGTGAGGGTGTCCCCAGCCCCTCAGGGTCACAGTGAGGGTGTCCCCAGCTTCCCCAGGGTCACAGTGAGGGTGTCCCCAGCCCCTCAGGGTCACAGTGAGGGTGTCCCCAGCTTCCCCAGGGTCACAGTGAGGGTGTCCCCAGCTCCCCCAGCTTCCCCAGGGTCACAGTGAGGGTGTCCCAGCTCCCCAGGGTCACAGTGAGGGTGTCCCCAGCTCCCCCAGCCCCTCAGGGTCACAGTGAGGGTG